GTAATATCTCATTGTGGTTTTAATTTGCATTTCTCTGATGACAAGCGATGTGGAGCATCTTTTCATGTGTTTGTTGGGCATCTGAATTTCTTCTTTGGAGAACTGTCTGTTCAGCTCCTCTGCCCATTTTTTAATTGGATTATTTGCTTTTTGTTTGTTGAGGTGCATGAGCTCTTTATATATTTTGGATGTCAACCCTTTATCGGATCTGTCATTTATGAATATATTCTCCCATACTGTAGGTACCTTTTTGTTCTATTGATGGTGTCCTTTGCTGTACAGAAGCTTTTCAGCTTGATATAGTCCCACCTGTTCATTTTTGCTTTTGTTTCCCTTGCCCAGGGAGAATTATTTTTTATATTTGGTGTTAGATAAGGGTCCAACTTCATTCTTTTTCATGTAATTATCCAGTTTTCCCAGCACCATTTGTTAAAAAGACTACCCTGTTGCCCTTGAGTAGTTTTACATCTTTGTCAAAAACAATTTGACTATATATGCGTGGGTTTATTTCTGAGCTGGCTCTTCTTTGCCATTGGACAATATGCCTGTCTTTATGCCAATGTCACTGTTTTAATAACTGTAGCTTTTGGGTAAATTTTGAAATATGGGAGTGTGTAATCTGTTTTGTTCTTTTCAAGATAGTTTTGGTGATTTGGAGCCCCTTGAGACTCCATATGAATTTTAGGGTCCGTTTTTCTATTCCTACCTAAAAAGTCTGGGATTTTGGTAAGGATTGCATTGAATCTGTGAAATGCATTGGACAGAAGGATATTTTAACAATATTAAGTCTTCCAATCCACGAATATGGTATGTTTCTATTTATTTATGTCTTCTTTAATTTCTTTCAACAATGTTTTATAGTTTTATAGTCTATTCTTCCTTGGTTAATTCTTAAGTTTTTTTTTATGCTATTGTAAATGGAATTGTTTTTGTAATTTCCTTTTCAAGGAGTTCATTGTATATAGGAATGCAGCTGATTTTGTGCATTGCCTTTGTATCCTGATGTTTTCCTGAATTCACTTATTATTCTAATAGCTATTTTTGTGGAGTCTTTAGGGCTTTCTACATATAAGATCATATCATCTGCAAACAGAGATAATTTTATTCTTATTTTCTAATTTGGGTGCATTTGATTTCTTTTTCTTGCTAATTGCTTCAGATAGAACTTCCAGTACTATGTTGAATAGAAGTGGTACAAGTGGGCATCCTTGATTTGTTCCTGAACTTAGATAAAAAGCTTTCAGTCTTCCCCCATTGCGTAAAAGGTTTCCTGTGGATTTTTAACATATGGCTGTTATGTGGATATAGTTTCCTTTTATTCCTATTGTGTTGAATTTTTTCTTAAGAAGGGGTGTTGAATTTTGTCAAATGCTTTCTCTGCATCAGTTGAGGTGATCATGTTTTTTCCCTTCATTCTGAGACAACCAACAGGACAGGGTAAAATATTTGCTAATCGTATATCTGATGTTCATTTCCTTCACTTTTTTTCTTATCAACTTTCATATGTTGAATGATCCTTGCATTCCATGTCTAAATCCCACTTGATCATGGGATTTAGTTGGTAAACTATAAAATCGAATTAAAAAATTCACATGTCAGATATCACCAATACAGAAAAATACCATGATTTAAAAAAATGAATTAACTGCCTAACATACCTTTACATTACTTTTTCCTATGTTTTTGGCTATATACTCTGATTTTTTTCTGTATGTGAAAATGATTTTGTCATATTTTGTTCTATAGAGTTAATAGGTATTTCTACTAGCAAAGCTGATTGAATTTTGTTTTTATTATTGATAGTTTAGACCAGTTTCTTCCCAGTCCACGGTTCATTTCTGGGAAAGTCATGTACATTTTTAAGATTGTTGTCAAATCTGGGAAAAATCTCTATCAGATTTCTTTTACATTTAAAGAATAACATGTGGGAGGGTTTTCCATATGCTAGTTCTGGATCCATACATTTCTACCCTTTTACTTATATACTTCTGTGCTGGTTTCTGAAGTACACATTCATTTGCTGATGTAGTCTCTGGCCCTTCTACTTTTGTGTTACAGCTCTAAGTGATTCAGTTGATAGGTCTTCAAGCAGCTGGAATAGGTGTTACTGTTACTGTAGCTGCAAGGCCCGTGAAGCACATACATTTATTCCACTTAACTAACTCAATTTACCCATAGCCAGATTGCCAAAATGCCTGCAACCACTGCAGTACTTCCAGACACAAGGAAAATTATTACTGAAGGTAAGTTAAATGAAAAGAGACAGCAGTCTTTGGAGATTAAAATATTTAACTTTTGAAACATTTACAGAAATTTAAGACCACATGAACACACTTATAGTTCCTCTCCTGGAGGGATGAAATTTAAGTTTCCTGGAACCTGCTGTTGGGTTTTGAGCTTTGGCAAAAGACAAGTGTTCACAAGCTTGAGCCATTTATATAAAGGAGGCAAGGTAGGACAATGAGTTTTGGTCAGGAGACTGTTATCTGATAAGCAGCAAAGGGCCATCCAAAGATCTTATAAGAGACAGTGCAAGTGATTCAAAGTCTGTCTTTAGTAGTTGGTGTCCTGTGAGGTAACAAGAATTTTGACTTTAAGGAATCACTTTCTAATGTTAGGCCAGAAACTTTATGACAATGGTTCAAGAAGAGGCTAGGGGGGAACCCAAATTGGTTAATGCTGGTGATCGGGGGTGGGGAGTGCAGTAGGAAGGAACCTAACCTTTACATCCTTTTGCAAGTCTGAAAACTTAGTATGATTTTGCATTTAATCTTAGCCTTAAGTTTAATGCTTGATATATAAAAAACTTTAAAGATAGATGGGGCTGTTTTTAAGGGAGAGAAAAAAAATTATTTTAACCTAAGGCAACTATAATGATCTGTTTTAGCTGTATTATTTTTATGCTTTTTTTTTTTTATTTAAAGCTACCTTATAACACTGATAAGTCAATTCAGGAGGTTAAAGATTGCAGGTGAGTTGCTGGGTCTAGAGCAAGTTGTAGAAAGAGAACATCATGTGGGAACTCTTGGAATCTCTATTTTTCCAGTAGTAGCAAGAATAAGTCCCCCCCCCCACTTTTTTTTCGCTATGTGTGTGGGGTTCATCAATTCAGTAGAGCAGCCTAGCAATGATGCCTGGGATGGATAGGTCCATGGGAATAATGAGTCAGGGCTTTTTGTAACAGGTGGCAGAACACAACTGAAATTGACTGGAGGAAATAAAGAGGAGAGGGCTTTATTGGCTTCAGGGGCAGAGCTCACTTCAGATATATTTGCCTTCTAAGGCTCAAAAGACATCGTCTTCTCTTCCGCAGCTTTCTTTCTCTTGAAATTGGCTTCATTAACTTGCATTGGCGGTACTTGTTATTAGTTATCCTAGTTAAAAGGCTTTTTCTGAACTGATTCAGCAAAAACTCTGGACTGAGTTTCTGGACCAATATGCCCCTCCCAGAACCAGTCACTGCGGTCTGGAATATATAACTGGTCAGCTCTGGGACATGATGGAGTGCATATCAGTATCCTGCAACCACAAGATTCCTGGGGGAAAGTGATGGCTAGTTCCCAAAGGAAATCTGAATCTCTCTTTTACCAGAGGAGAGAGAGAGAGATGGATAATACTAAGAGCACATACTAAAAAGCCCCCAAATAAGGGGGGGCAGTGTTTTGGGGCTTGCCCCATATGGCTATAGTTGTTAAACTATAAAATCGAGTAAATCTTTTCCATAGCTGATAGATGCCATGCATATGGGGCAATATCATTACATTACAGATTTTTCATTCTTTCACCTAAGTGGGACTGAGTCAATGAATATGCTACAGAAAGTAACCAGAAAGCTAAAAGTATCAATATAGTAATTTTAAATTTTAGTGCCCTCTTTAAGCTAAGTAGCTCAGAGTGCTTTCAAGAATCCATTTTCATTCGTGACCACACCCCGAGTAGGTGACATGAGTATTACTGTCTTGCCTTTGCAGCTGGGGAAACCGAGGCATGACTGTCCTCCATCCTGCTTTCCGGTGGGATTTAGGAAGAGTCCTGCCTTCATGACCTCAGAGGGTCTCCTCTTTCTTCCGCGGCGCCACTCAGAACCTCATGTCCTTCGGTGTCGCAGAAGGAGAGCAGCCTCGGCTCCTCCGCAGCCTCGGGATTCGCCCTCCGCCCAGCTGCACCCGCCCTGCTCTCCTGTACCGTCCTCAGGAAGGTCCAGCGGCCAAGGTCTGGCTGTCCCTCCCATCCTCCCCGCCTCCCTTCCCCCGATCCCCAGCGTGCAGGAAGCCCCCAGCCAAGTGCCCCGCAGGGACGTGCGGGCAGATGCCACCCAGGAGTCTAGCGGGGGGGACGCCGGCGCCGCCGGAGGTGAGCGGGCCGGACCCTTCGCCCTCCGACGGCCGGGGTGCAGGGTTTGGGGCAGGCGCTCGGCCAGCCCGGCCGGAGGTAGGTAGCGGCGGGAGAAAGGGATGCCGGGCGAGCCGGCGGGGAGCGGCGAGATGGGGAGACGTAAGCGCTGCTCGAGGGCGACGCCTGGAGAGCGAGCCGCGGGGAACCGGGCGATGTCGGACCGCTCGGGGACGCGCCGCGGCAGGGCCGCCCAGCTCGCCTGTGCACCTCCTCGCGGCGCCCGGACTCTCGACGTCCTCCGGAGCGCGGGCGGGAGACATGGTTTCGCGCGTCCCCGCCGCCGCAGCTGCTGACTCGACACAATCGGCGGGTCGCGTGGGGGGCGCGGCGTAACCCGGCGGTGGGCGGCGGCGCGGAGTCGGTTAAGGAGCTCCGAGTGTGGCGGGGAGGGAAGGAAGATGCTTGCACGCAGGCGAACCGGGACCCGGCCCGCTGCGGAGGGCGGCGGGACGAGCCGCTGAGGGGCGCGCCGGGCACGCTCTGCTCCTGCGCCGCGTCTCCCGAGTCGCTGCCTCGGGTCCCGGGGTCGAGGACCGCAGCGCAGGATTCCTCGGCCCCGTGGCAGTGGCCGCCGCAGCAGTGTCACCAGCCGCCTGCTTTCCCCGCGGCGCGCACGGACCGGCCGGAGGGAGCCGGGCACGCGGGTCCAGTCGATTGCGGGGCTCTCCCCCGCCCCGCGGCCCTGTCCGCATCCGCAGCCCGGCGCGGCGGGCGCCCAGCCCCAGGTGAGCGTGCGGCCCGCGCCCGGCCCTCGTGCCGCAGGTACGGGCCAGCGGGAGGTGGCTTTGTTTTCCTCCCTCGCGCTCCGGCGCGGTCATTCATTTGACATTTCGGTTTCCTCTGTCCTGAAATACGGGTGAGAGACACCGGACGTGTTTCTTGGTTTAATTATCCCTGGGAGCTGAGACTTTTGGATCCATTTGAGCATCACTGGAGGGAGAGGAGGCTTCATTTTCTTTCTGGTTTGGAATGTGTTGTGAACATCCTCTGCTGGGCTTGGGGCCTGGAGGAAACTGGGGCTGCAGATTTAGACGTAGACGCTTCCGAGGACGTGCAGCTGCAGCGCGCTGGCTCTTCCACGCCTTGTTTTACCTCCGTTCGTCGTGCTCAAGTGTTTATTTCTTTGCAAGCCTGTTTATTTCTCTTAGAGTAGGAAGTCTTTGGAGACAATAGAGAGAGCTCACAGTTAAGGCATCAGTTGATATTAAACTTAGAAGAGGCAAGTGTCTGTGCTTATCGTAGATAGAGGTGGACTGTAGGCAAACTTCCCGGGAGCCTTTAGCCTTCCTGGTATGTTTCTGCTTTCGCTGTCCCAGAGACAAACGAACTCTGAATTCTCGGTGTACATATGCCTTCTAAAGGGTGTGAAACTTGTCTTTTTTAAAATAGTTTTCTATACTTTGTTATTTAGAAGAAAAAGATTTTATCGTTAATTATTCGTTCGTCTAACAAGTAGGATTTTCATTTGTTTCTTCTGTTCCCTTAAGGGTTCGTTTCTTCGTTGCCTAGAGAGCTTTTTTTTCTTCTCCCTTCTCTCTCCTCCCAACAGATGGCTGTCTGTTCTGAGAGGTTATCTTTAAAGTAATGCATTACCTATAAACAAAGAAGAATCAGTTATTAGGCTTCTCTCTGGAATTATTAAAGCAAGAGGTCTAATCTGGATAGGGACACTATTAATGGTGTGAAAATCTGGAGTTTGCTAATCTGTTTTGTCATGAGAAGATTCCTGCAGGGATTGTTTATATAGTATGGGAGACAGATGGCATCCGTAGCCACAAGAGGAGCCCAGCATAATGGATCATTGTAATTTTCAGAAATGATCCACTTCAATGTTGGGAGGTGTGGTAGGCTGGTGGAGGGTGGGGAAGACATAATTTTGGTTTCCTAAAAGGAGACATTATAACCCTACCATCCAACAGCCTTACCAGTTAATTTTTTCTTCCTTTGAACATTTAAAAAGTCAACATTAAGCTGTTAGTTTTGCTTATTTTTAGGCACATTTTGACCTCATTTGTGGTTATGCGAAGCAGTTCGAACAGTTACATTAACAGAAATATCTTTGAATTTAATATTTTTGCACCACTTATAGGGGAAAACAAGTCAAACTTTTTTAGTTCTTGTTCATTTTAACAAAGGCCCCTTGTGCTCATCGTATCTCTTAGCTGGAAGGATTTTAGTTCAATGTGCATGAATTCAAAAGGAGTTTCTTCCAACATTTCCATGACAGGTGATTCTCTAACTCCCAGCATTTGTCCCCAGACTCAGCTACTATAGTATTCAACATCTACAATTACTTAACAGCCTAAGATGTTTGCTTTACCATTACCTCCTTATAGCATTGGGTGGCCTTTCACAGTCTTTATGAATGACTGGAGTCAGTGAAGAAATCAGTCTTTCTGAACAGTTTGAGATAAACCAGCTGAAGCTTTTCTGCTCCTGCCACCATTGTAGATTCTTTATGTGCTCTAGATTGCAACGAGATTACAAAATTGGTCTTCCTTCTTTATGAAACTAAGGGAAAAATATTCCAGCAAATTAATAAGCACTAGCCATAGGCCTAAATTTAATAAAGAACATGAGCAATGTTTGATCCCTCTAAACAGGAAGTATAGGATAAAAATAAGCATTAGCTCTGCTTAACCGGAGCAATGTGATCTTGGGAGAAAAAACATATTTTCTTACTCTCTTGAAAGCCTTTTGCTCCAACTGATCTCAGCAAAAGGCAAAAAAAAACTAAAGTTGTTACCTGTAGTTGAGGACAGATGCTGTAGCTATAGCCTTCCCTTCTGGATGAATGTGTTTTGCAGGAGAGGTGGCTTTGGATTTGGTTCAGTTTCGTCTTGTGCCAGGACATCAATGAAAGGATCTAACATTCAAAATACTTGTTAAATCTGTAGCTGTTATCTGTGTACCCTCTCACCAGGTTGCTGTCTCTCTTGTGAAGTATTTCTGTAAGAGAAACCCGAGGCTCCAGGCCTGGGGCTTGCTGTAGGCTTGGCCTATATCCATATTCTAGTGTGTTGTTGCCTGATTTCCTGGGTAAAAATGGAACCAGTTCTACAGGTTTGTTGGATAGGGAATGGCAGCATGGAGTGCAAATCTTTGCAACTCCACCGTGGAAAACCAAGCCAGCCCTGAGAGACAGAGGACTATGTTTGAAGTTTGGTTGACCTACCAGAGGCGCAGGTTGCTTCTCTACACATAGGATGTATGGGAATCTGAGAGGGATTAGAAGGGATCCCTTGGTTTATCTGCAAGTCTCAGTTTATTCTTGTTGACTTATCTTAATTATCAAATACATCTCCTTTCATATTTAAAAGTGCCCTGGTTTAGATGATGCAGCTGTGGTAAATATTAAGGAATACTGACTTTTCTTTACCGTCTTCTCCTGACCAGAGACTTGACTCTTTCTTTATTTCATTTTTTCATTTGTTAAATGCAAGGATAAAAAAGGTAAAAAGAAAGTAAACTGGAAAATGCATATGAAAGAAAGAAATAGCACAGATGATAAAAAGAAGGTCATTGATTTCTTATCATCTATTTACATATATAGGAAATAAAAGACTTTTATCCTTAGTTGTTAAGTGTCTACTATGGTTCTAAACCTATGTTATTATTGTCTTCAAGAACAGTAAGAATTGAGCCTTGCCCATTTAGCTAGGGATCACATGAATTGAGACAACTGTGACTAGGGAGGGCAGTTTCAACAAAACCTGTTTGCAGACCTGATGGGTGCATGGCTCTTACAGATGTGAACCCAAGTTTCAAGATCTAGTGTTTGGACCAGTTCTTGGATATTTACTGAGAATTCAGAACACAAGTGTTGTTATAAAGACTTAACTCCACTTTCTCCTAGTTTCCAAGCTCTCTGGGCTACAGGATAATAGAAGAGCCTTTGTTTTCTGTTCAAACTTCTGACACCAGTCTTGGGTTTGGATCTCAGTTTTTGCACAGAGGGCTTGCAGAGAAAACTTGGTGTGCCTGCTCACTGTGTGAAAATTCTCATGGAGATTTGAGACTGTGCAGGTGATCTGGTAGGGATTTAGGTTCCAAAGCTAGATATCTGAAGCTTGTGGCACCTACTTCTGCAACAGTCACGGTGTTCCTTTGCTAAAGAATTGCCTGTTTGAAATAGTTCACTTGCAGTGCTGGCCTTTAGGTGTTACAATTAATTATGGCTGTCACCTTCTCCTTTCCCACTCTACTAAAATCCTCAAAAGCTTGGTCAGCATGCCTAAATAAATTTATGTGTCTCTTTCCTAAGTATGATGACCATGTAATTTTTTTGTCCAGATAAGGATACTTTTGAGAGTAAAAGCAAGTACTAAACTAGAAGGGGCACCTGATCAATAAGTATAATGTGGGAGCATCCCAGAAACCTGTGATATACATGGTCGTTTTAACCAATGTCCAAGTCAGTAGTTATTATATGAAGAATACCCATATGATGGAAAAATGTCTTTAGCTTTTTTTTATATTTGCTCAAAATAAATGTTTATGCATGTGCCTGTATATATAGGCATGTTGAAATATATATATTTATATATGTAGGGTTGAATAAACCACTCATGAAGGACTAGTTATTTGGAAAACTGTGGCCTTCATCATCTCTTTCATGGATTGACTTTTTAACTAAACTTTCTGTGTCCAGCCTTTCTAAACTTGTAATCATCTCCTGACCTTGTATGGTTCTAATACCAATCTGTTCTATAATTCTCTTGTTATAAACCTTTGATGGCTCTCCATTTTCTGTTGAATTCTCAAAGATCCACAATTTGGTGGCTGGAAAAGAAAAGCAGTGAAAAAATTTCATTCATTCGTTCAACTACTATTTATTGAGAACTTTCTACGAGTCAGTTTTTTATCTAGGTGCTCGGGACATACCAATGAATAAAATAAAGATCTCTGCCCTTGTGAAGTTTTCATTCTGTTGGGGTGGAGGGGTGGAAGTGGGAGACAGATAATAAACAAATAAATAGGTAAATCATATAGTATGCTAGAAGGAGGTAAGTGCTTTTAGAGAAAGAGAAAACAGAACAGGATAAATATGGTTGAGTAGGGTCCATAGAGAAAGAGACCTTAAGGAAAGAATTAAAAGGAGATGAATGAAGGTATTCATGCAGGTACTTGAGGGGGAGTGTTCCAGGCAGAGGGAACAGCCAGTGCTAAGGCCCAAGATGAGAATGTGTTTGAATATGTTCAAAGATAAGCAAGAAGACCAGCATGATGGGGTGGAGTGACATGTGTGTGTGTGTGTGTGTGTGTGGCTTTTTGAAAATGAGATCAGAAAGGTGGTGTAGGAGTGGCAGAGTATGTAGGACTTTGACATATGGGAGTAACTATGATTTCAGCAGAAATTTCAGTGTGCTCTTAAAACTCATTTTAATATCAAGAAATTGTGTTTCTTTTATGAAGCCCATGCTATTCACTATAGCTTACTTTAAATAAAAGGTATACTTTATCTTGGTTAACATACTTTTTGTGTCATTTGCTTATCGTTTATATATTAAAATAGTATTTTTTTCTTTTGGCTGTTGCTGGTCTTCCATTATATCCTTATTTCACAAAAATAAATCAGTGGCTTAAAAGAGGTTCATTGAAGTGTAATAATAGTGATGGAAATAATAGTGAGTTTAGAATGTCAAACAGAGAAATAGATCCCACTGCAAATATAAAATGTGAATCTGTATATGTAAAAACTAGGGAATTCATGAGATGATGATTT